TATTATGGCGCGCCCGCCGCCGCAGCGAGTGTCTGAGTATAGCGCACACAGTCATGAGCGCAGGGTCCCGCAACGACTCTGCGTCTCTACCTTGCATGCATCTCGAACTCACGAGCCTACCGTAAGTTTCGGGCCGCTTGAGGGGCGATTTGTAGACTTCGTAGATCCCCTTTCGCGCTGCAAACTTCTGTCGTCGCTCAGTTAGGGGGTCTACTATCACATTACTACTAGAGCCGGGTACTCTCAGTCTGATGGGACGCTGCGGCGATTTGTAAACTCCATAGACCCCTTTCGCGCTGCAAACTTCTGTCGTCGCTTACAAAAGAATGATTAGAAATCAAAGTGGCCAAACCGCACATGCTGCATACCGTCAACACCCTCAGGGTACGCTAGTAACATATCTACCCTCGATATCTGCAGAGCGGTCTTGTACGCGAAGTTATGGTCTCTGATTCCACCAGGATCCCGCCGAGCACATCAAATACACGTAGCTCCAGTTGCTACCTGAAGCGGCGGCATAGCGCAGTGGCAAGTGTGCGGGCTGATCCTATGAGGGTCAGGAATTCGATCCCTTTTGCTTTCATTTCTTTTGCAACCGATTTTTAACATCTATAATGTTGTTTACGAAGTGACATCAAGGTTAGAACAGCTACAAAACTGTGGAAATTTAAAAAAAATTGCTCATTAGCGAAAATAAAAATGAGACTAGATATTATTTGATATGACGAAGATAAAAGGAAGAATGATAGAAATGTTGAAGTAAGCAGTTTTAAGGATATGAGGGAAAGAAATGTGCATCAGGAGCATCTGCCTCTCACTTTGAAGCCAGAGATGCTCATTTCGTCAAAGGATCAAAAACAGCAGGTTGAGATAAGGTAACAATTTCGAACGCAAGTTGGCTAGGTCGCTATACTGCGCAATGTTCTACCGGAGGTTGTTCTCTCGCTGCCCGTCTTATAAACTTCCTCAAATATTCCTGGTATGCTGCCGGTTATCTCGAGATCCACCCAGAACCATTTCAAACTCCTCAATCCTGCTTCCCCAGTGTCGTAGGAGGAGTTTGCGAGTGTAAAAATTGTGGTGAAGAGCACTTTATCAGATGTGCTTATTGCTGCCGTCTCCTGTGTATCCAGCATTTCATTATAGCCTTTCATAATTGCTCATGAAGTTCTAGTTCGAATTTTGATTTATTGTATCTTCAGAATGAGATTTCAATAAATTTTTTGAAGTTTCCACAGGTTTTGTAGCTGTTCTGACCTTGATGTCACTTCGTAACAACATTATAGTTGTTAAAAATCGGTTGCAAAATTGAAAGCAAAAGGGATCGAACCCCTGACCCTCATCGTATCAGCCCGCACACTTGCCACTGCGCTATGGCCGTTCAGGTAGAAACTGAAGCTACGTGTATTTGATGTGCTCGGCGGGATCCTGGTGGAATCAGGGCCCATAACTTCGCCTACAAGACCGCTCTGCAGATATCGAGGGTAGATATGTTACTAGCGTACCCTGAGGTTGTTGACGGTATGCAGCTTGTGCGGATTGGCCACTTCGATTTCTGACCATTCCCTTGTTAGTTAGGTGGTCTACTATTACATTACCACCACAGCCAGGTACCCCCAGTCTGGTGAGACGCTGCCTTTAAAGGCAGTGGATCGGCAAAACTAAACAAATCAGGATTTTAGCGTGGTAGGTTGCTCATCGCCCAAATATGAGAACATTGCAATCCCGGTCGCATAGCATGCCTTCTATACTTGGGTAATTCGATAATTTTTCATCGAATGAATGAATATCGAATAAATTCGAAAAGGAAAAATCTCGAATAAACGAATATCGAATAAATTCGGAAAATCAAAAATATCGAGTAAATGAATTTCGAATAAATTCGGAAAATCAAAAATATCGAATGAATGAATTTTGAATAAATTCGGAAAATCAAAAATATCGAATGAATGAATATCGAATATATTCGAACATTGGAAGTCGAATTTCGAATAAATATTCGAATGATTTATCGAATAACTAAAGCAATCACATCTCAAACTTGCCGGCATATCTGGCTAAAGCCGATCCAATCATAATCAGCCCCCTAGTATCCCCTATACCAACTCCTAGCTCAAAATTTTCCAAAAACTGCTGAAATCAATAAAATAGATTTCGGTTTCGATCAGCACCCTCACTTACCCCCTTGTACCAACTCCCAACCTCGTAGCTCAAGATTTTCCAAAAATCGATAAAATCGATAAAGTAAATTTTTATTCATATCAGCACCCTCACTTACCCCCTTGTACCAACTCCTGTACTGAAAGTACAGAATGCAGGGCATTTATCTTTTTAGTATGTTGTACGCTAAACATTTGTGGTAAGCTGCCGTTACATCCGAAGACATCTGTAACTGGCAAATCGCGTACGGCGATATAAACCGTCTAATCCTGCACTAAAACTGCGATGTCCTTTACTCAATATATACCAATTCGCGAAAAACTCCAAGGTAACGAATAGGCAGTTTTGCAATAATTTATGCGAGCAAGAGTGCTCACTAGTGTGGGCTTTGCGTACCGCAAGCATGAGCAATGCAAAGAAAGAAGAACAGCAATTTCAATTCAGTATGAACTCAGAACATGAGCTTGAATTTGATATCTTCTTTGCTGATTTGGTGCCAGTAGCAGTGCGAACAATCTCACTGTTCGAAAAAACATCAATTAAAATCCACATATGATTTTTTTACTGTCGCAAGCAGTCGGAAAAATGCGACTCTTCATACTTCAAAGGTATACCGGTCGCAAAAGATACATTACCGAGTTTTGCGAGAAAAAAAACGCGGACGAAGTAAGCTTGATACTCAGCAGTTGGCTCTGCAACAAAGTCGAATAATCTGAATACGGAGTACATTCGAATACGAATTCGAATAAACATTCGAATAAAACATTCGAATAAAATCTATTCGAGACCCCATTTTTTGATTATTCGAGTTTTCGAATTTCATTCGAAACCTCGTTTTTTGATTATTCGAGTTTGCGAATTTTATTCGAAAACCTGTTTTTTGATTATTCGAGTTTCGAATTTTATTCGAAACCCCGTTTTTTCAATTATTCGAGTTTCGAATATTATTCGAAAATGGAAGAACTCCGAATATCGAATTTCGAATGCGAATATATTCGAATGTTTTATTCGAATGATCGAATTTCTATTCGATTCGGACCCAAGTATAATGCCTTCCCTACCGAGAAAATTGCTCTTAAACTTACACGCGCAGGCCATTCTTACACGCGTTCGGACGAGTTGGCAATTCCCCTCTCACCATTGGAGGCTGCCCGCCGCAATGCTATAACCATTGGGTCCCGCAGCGATTGAGCGTCATCAGCCTTGTTCCACTCGTCCAATTTCACAGCAAAGGGCATTGGAAAACGCTCGATTTCGCCGTTTTCAAGCCATCTAAAGTGGATTTTCGGAGGCGCATCGGATAACCCCAGGTAAGCGAAAATTTGACTAGGGTGAGATTTGCCGAGCCACTGCCTTTAAGCAGCAGACAGCAGTCACAGCACACCAAAAATTAGGTATCAATTTGAGTTAAGTCTGAGATATTTTGCATGCATTTACGAGCACTGAGACGCCCAATTTCCGCGTTACGGTAGCCCTGGTGCTTTTTGACTTCTATAATTCTGTAGGCAGTGGAGATTCTGTCCCTGGGCCATGTCTTCTTATGCGCACTAGGGTCAACTGCAAGTCTTTAGGCGCTACCAGCTTGTCACTAGAAACCATTATCCGTCGGAATCCGGCGCTGACCTTAGCTGCAGTATATAGCTAACGCGACCATATAAGGCGACCCAGCTGCCTCTTATCTTTCCTTTAGCTATTATGTAATCTTACTTATTACATACAAATCTTACTTACCACATCATTAGATCATCCTGAAACTATCATTTGTCTTGTTTACCCTCTGATCTTGCCACGGTACTGAAAATTCTCCTCATCTTAGATACCCTTTCAAGACACCATAACGTGCAAATACTAAGGAACTGATGTTTCTTTAGGATATCTCATAGAGTTTATCTATCATTATCAAGATATCCCAATAACTTTTCGCCAGAATATAAAATGGTTGCATTTTATGAAGTTAGAATAAGCTCTGCTTCCCAAAACGTGTACATTGTTCAGGGAGATGAAGTCATCCTTACCAATGACGGTCTTGTTTTGAAATCCTCAACAAAAAGATTTCGTAATACTTCTACGTCATCCATCAACATCGGTTGTCAGCAAACTCAGGCCCCCCATTCATTACTTGAATACGGATAGCGAAATGATTAGTCATATATACGACCAGAGGATAAACAACACACCATTAAAACGCAGGACCACTTTATCATCTGATAAGTAAGATCAATGAAAAAGTAGAGGCAGCCAGGTCGCCTTTTATGGTCGCGTTAGCTGTATAGTGTAGCTAAGGTCAGCGCCGGATTCCGACGGATAGTGGTTTTTTTGTCACTTGGGGGATGATGAGCGTGCACCCTCGTCTTAACGTATCGTCGTCTTCCCCTCGATAGATGGGGCGTGTCGTCTGCAAAGTCCGTAGACGTGCGTATTTCGTACGGTATTGGCCATGGCATGGCATGTATATACATGCCACGTCTAAATACTTGTTAAATCTCCATAATATAAAATATTATTTTCGTTTTCTCTAAGGCTGCGTTAATACTGATTTCGTAATTCGGGAACAGTCCCAGCACAACGCTCACTTTGAGCGCTGTGCTGGAACTGTTCCCGAACTTCGGGATCAGTATGAACGCAGCCTAACTGCCAAAAGCTGCCACGCACATACGTTGGCAAACGTTGGCAAAGCCACACCGGCTAACACCGTACGAAACACGTACATCTACGGACTTTGCAGAAGACACGCCCCATCTATCGCGGGGAGACGACGATATTTCCAAGTGTCTTTCCAAAAAAGTATGAAGCGCTTTTCTCCTGTTCTTCTTTGTAAATACTTATCGTATTCTTTGCAGGAGTTGCGTTCATCTTCCGAAATATTTTTCGGCTCGAAATTAACTACGTGGCACCTATCAAGCATTGTGTAGGAGACACACAATCGACAGGACTACATATTGGTTGTGGCGTAAACTTTCTGTAGTCAAGTTGTTGAAGGAGCTAATAACACTGCCGCCTGCTGATTAAGTAGGACATTCGTACATAGCTAGGATTAGAGTTTCGATTGTTATTGCAAAGACTAATGATTTTGCTCATTTTGTGATGTTTCAGAAAAGTTTGTAAAGGCGCTAGCCTCGATGACCCATAAAAACATTATCTAAGTGGTACTGATATATCTGAAGATACGGTGAATGACCGCAATCTTATTTGGTTGAGAACACTTCGATTCCTGAATCTTTTCGCGATCAGTGCCTCGAATGATGCAGAGTGTTACTTTTTTCTTCTGCTATCTTACCAGTGCACGTCGAAAACACAACAAAAGAGACCGATTAAGCATTGCTGTTAGCGAGGATCAATTCAATATAGCTAAGGGAACGAAGCTCAAAGATAGAAGAAAATGAGTTGTGGAAAGGGGAATACCGCATTTTACCTGAGGTTCTTCTTGAGATTCACGGGTCCCTCACGCTGAATCCAAGTCTATGTTCGTTATCTGCTGTGCGACTCTCTGAACGAAGTTATGGACTTTTTTGGTTGTAATCTTACGAAATTAAAGGGCAGCATCCAGGAAAGTCTGGGCACATGGGGATCTCACGTGGATAGTGATTTTGGGGCTTTAACTAAGCCACTGCCCAACTGGCAGCTCAGGTAGTGCTCTAACGGCTGAGATATTCACCTCAAAACTGGACCCCGCGACCGTATTTCGCATGGATTCATGGCGCAAAGTGTGGATCTCGGCGTGAAACTGCCATGAATCCATGCGAATACGATCGCGGGATCCAGTTTCGAGGGGGATATCTCGGCCGTTAGAACACTACGTGCTGCGCCGCTTGGGCAGTGCCTTAGTTAGGGCCCCACGGTTTCCACGTAAAATCCTCATAGGTCCAGATCTGCCTGGACGCTGCCTTTAAGGCAGTCAGAATCGTCATTATATAAGCATTTTAGCCTCTGATATATCGGAGACGGTTTTCTTGGGCCTAACGGAAACCTTTATATCATTTAAACGCTCTTTTGTAGTGCGTAAACGAACATTCCAACGACATTGGTGAATACTGTCATCAAAACACTGCATATTTTGGTGGCAAGAAGTGTTTATAACTCGTTTCGGAAAAGTGCACAGCAGGTGCCGAAAGAAGATTTGGAATCAACTCTTCAGGATGCATTTGGTGATGTATCGTTTGTTCCCCAGCAAGATTCCCATAGGTACCACGTCATCTTGCTGGGTCTTTTGAACGTGTTAACCTCGGGCAGTTCCGTTAAAATGTCAGGAAAAACATGTCAAAAAGAGCGAAATGCAGCGTCGCCCACGTACGCACGCTGGTTCACATGGAAACTTTTCTGGGGCACACAGGATACGTTTCATTTCGAAGGGCCACGGTCTCCAAGTATCCTTTTTTTTGTGAGACATGCTGTGCTGTGCCAGAAGGAGGTGCCCGTATGCCCCCTCCCCCCTCATGGCCAGGCACAAATGGTCTGGGGGTCAAACTGAACTTCGGTTTTCGAGTGAAAAGCAAAGGGGATCCGTTTTTGCAGGGTCCGGGACGGCCGCGGAAAGATCGGCAAACTGTCAGATTTTCGCCTGTACGTGTTCTGTCGCAACTGCGCGGATTTCAAATGCAAAATTCGAACAAACATTTGTTGTTTACAGCGCACCACCAATCATATGACATGATTCTCCACGTTCGACTTTCAGTAAATCATAACAAACAATCATATTTACCGCGTGTTTTCACCATAGCATATTGCAACGCACTTGCACATAAAAAACTTCAATTAATATTTTTCAGTAGAGCTGTGTCCACATAACATCCTTGATGGAAAATCCTTTAGAGGCTTTTCTTCAAACCCGAGAGAAAGAGTGGTGAATTTCGGAATCATGCAAGGTCTAGGAACCATCAATTCACTGTAAGTTTACAGTAGCACCTAAGAAAGCGATGCGTTAGTACTATAATCTGCATGCCTTCTTGCCCACCTGAACTGAGTTTCGCGTGGATTTGAGAGCTGGTCGGAAGTGGACAAGAATATAATTCTATTACTTGGGTTGCAATACCTTCTGTCATGCACGCATCCGAGGATATACCAGCCTGCACATTCAAAAATGGCAACCTTCCATCACTAGGCCTTTTTTGGTTTTCTTTCTTCGGCAATATACGGCTTTCAATGGCTTAATTCTCCAGCCGGTAATCTCAATTTCACAGCAGTGAAGAGAGATCTAGAGTCGCTCCACACTGTACTTGAAGTCAGCCTTACAGAATGGCAGCTAAAGTTTGGCGGAAGACTTTATGGGAGGAAAACTGACGATTAATCAATGTCTATAACTTTTGGAACACCCCGTATATGTATTCACTACCGAGGGTGTATACGTTTGGACTGTCCCTGTACGGTAACTGATCAGTACACAAGACGTTGTTATTGTATGTCGCCGTAGGTACTCGATTCCTCAGGGACGCCACGACCTGAGATACCCCTGAATCTCACAGATAGGGCGTTCTCAAGACAAGTCCGTCTGCAGCTAAGTCCTGACTTATCTAAGGGTCTTCGGACTTATCTGACTCAATATTTGAGTAGTTCTAGTTCTTATATCTGTAGGGCGGATTTATCTTAAGAGACTTATCTCGGTTAAGAAGGTGGACTTGACTGTAAGGCTCTAAAGTAATCTTCTTTGAAATTCTAGAGATTCCTTCCAGGGCTCGGCACGAGCTGGCACCAGGGAAATTTCAAAACGAAGTCCCGTTTGATATTGAAAATTTCGTACAAAGTCCCTTTTGACCTGTTTTGAAAACCCGTCATCATTTTTATATTATGTAAAAAAATGTAGTAGTGTTTTCATGCATTTCTGATTTCATGAAAGAACTTTTCACAGCTTTCTGAGCTTTTTAAGTGGTAATCACATCTTGAGAAGCAGAAGCCGATTTTTCGACGGCGGAGCGGACCGAGTGGTTTTCAGATTGCTATAAAACGCTGAAAAGAGAACATTATGAAACTGTTTCTTCTCCGTATGTATTCTTTTACAGTGTAGATACATTTTATATAAAAAATATGAAAACTTATGTGAGCAAAGTGTCGGTGCCAGCTCAGCTGGCACCTAGCTGGCACGGTGCCAGCTAATTCAGAAAAAAGTTGGGCACAGCTTTCATTTACATAAGTTTCCATAAATTTTTGGCCCGTAGTTCCGGTCCACCAACGCGCGTGCACACACCAAATTTGGTGTCATACTATTGCGTTTTGGCTGAAAACAACGCCTTTGTTTGTTGATGGACAGCTTGCCAATGGCATGCCGGTGGCATGCCGGCGGCATTCTTGCGGCAGTTCTCCGCCTCGGCCCCTGTAGAAACGATATCCCCTTTGCTTTCCGCGCTAAAAACGATATCCAGCTTGACCCGGTGCCAGCTGTACTGAGCCGTGATTCCTCCACATCCGTTATAGGAGTAGGTTTCTAGGTTCTCAAGTCTCCTGACTGATGTAGGCACTAAGGGCCGCATGCACTAACATCCTCGCTGGTGAGGGGATCGAAGCTTGAAAGAAAGCTTCATATCCCGAAGCTCCAGATATCTGGATTTCACGATTTCCGCCTATTAGTAAGTATTCCCGTCACTCTCCACTTTGAATATTGAACAGAAGCGAGAAGCTATACAAGCCGCATTTTCCAGCTTTTTGTATGATTCCCTCCCCTGGGGACGACCGTCTACTCTTTGAAGTCATTTTTCTTTTTCAAAGTTGATGAAAACATCTCAAAGTTGTATTGCTTATTCAGTCCAACAGTGCTAAGCATGTTGCTGATAAGAACAAAAGATGTTTTGGAGACATGAAATTTTCGATTTTTTTAATCCTCGCATGTGTCCCGCCTACGCAGGGTCTGCTTTTCTTGTGAGAAGTCTCCATGTCGTCCTGTCTGAGGCAAGGTCTTCATCTATACCAAGTTCTCGCAGGTCGGCCTTGATTCTGTCCATCCACCTCATCTTGCGTCTACCTCTGGGTCTTTTGCCTACCTCCACAGCCAGGGCCAACTTGATGATGTGACTTTCATCCCTTCTGCTCACATGCCATACCATCGTAACCTCTTTTCCTGCATTTTCTGGGCAATTGGAGCTACTTTCATTCGAGCTCGTATAGTGTCATTGCAGATGTGATCCTTCATTGTGATTCCTAAGGTCCATCGTAGCATCCTCGTTTGCGTGACACTGAGCTTGCGCTCCTCGTTCCGCGTACACGGCCAGCACTCACTGCCATACAGTGCTGCTGGGCGGATAACGGTCCGGTACAGTTGGGACTTAAGTTGCACTGGCATTTGTTTGTCGCACAGAACTCCTGTTAAGGCTCTCCATTTCATCCATGCTGTGTTCATCCTTCCTGCGACCTCCCCTTGTAAACCTCCCTCCGCTGAGATGCGACTGCCTAGGTACTTGTATGACGTTGTCTTCTTTAGCTCTTCACCATCGATGCTTATGGTACCTGGAGTTTGTTTCCCCACTTGCATATATTCTGTCTTCCTGGTGTTGAGTTTCAAGCCATACAACTTTAGCCTGTTTTTCCAGTTTTGCACCTCGTCTTGTAGCTCCTTTCTGGTACTTGCTATAAGGGCCACAACCACATCGTCTGCGTAGAGAAGTGTCCAAGGGGGTTCACGTCTGAGAGGTTCCATCACGGTGTCCATCACCGTGATGAAGAGCAAGGGAGAGAGAACTGAACCCTTGGTGTACTCCAAGCTTGATTTCGAATTCTTTCGATTGCCCTGCAGCTGTTTGCACGCTCGACGCGTTCTGGTAGATCAACTTTATCCACTGAACGTACTCCTCTGGCACCCTGTGTTTCCGTAAGGCCCACCATATGACTTCATGGGGCACCTTATCGAAGGCTTTCTCCAGGTCCAGGAAGGCTGCATGCAATTCCTTCTGCTTCTCTCTGTATTTCTCCATCACTATCCGAGCGGAGTGAATTGCATCAGTTGTACCTACTTTTTTCACTTTTTTCGGTGACAACTTTATGATATCTCGAAGGCGTGTTTCGATTACTCGCTCGAAGATTTTTAGAGTGTGGCGCATTAGTCAGATTGGTCGGTAGGATGCGCATCTGCTATGTCTCCTTTGTTCTTCCATATCGGGATGGTCGTGCTGGTGTACCAGTCGCGAGGCATACTCTTGCTCCTTATGATTTGATTGAGGAG